TACCTGGCGCCGCACCCCCTCCCCCCCCCCCCCCCCCAGTTGCTTGAATTTGGCCTCCAACTATGGTTTTCGTTGCGCTTTCAGGGAAACATCCGTTTCTCGCTTTGCAAAAACTGCAAAGCTTGAATGTAAAACTAATAGGTCATTTGTCTGGATTAAGGCAGGTTGCAACACCCGAGTCTCCTGATCAAGCGCTATCTGAAATGTCTGGCCTTACATTGGCCTCAGCCTGTTAATTCATTGAGTATTCAGCTATACCTCTTTCCAATCTGTAAAAAATGCTACATGCAACCCAGTCAAGGGTAAAATATTAAATTTCTTCAGCTGTCCTGTATTGCTAATGCAACATTTCAGCAGCACTGCAAACTCAGACCTGTTTTATGAACATAGATAATTCATATTCTGCTGCAGATCAATTCAGAATTCAAATAAGCCAGGCCTGGGGTGATGATCCAGAAAGAGGAAAGGCTCTGAGGATGGAAAGGAGTATCAGATCTTGCAGAGAAGGCAAACATTTCTAATCTATGGCTGGAGGCTGTTTAAAAGCAACAGAAGCTGAGGAAACTCTGTCCAAAAGAGCTGCAGACAGAAGTATCTGGCTAGCGATGTTGTATTTGGGGATGGATCTGAAATACAAAGGTATCTCTCTCTGTGCTCCGATACCTTCAGTGCCTGGATTAGGTGAGTCATACCCAAAGCAGGTATTAATGCTACTTAAAAAAAAAAAAAATCTACATTCCTTTTAGAGCATGCTATATTAGCACAATCCAATCAGTCACCAGGCAGGCTGCTGCCAGGGGATTTACAGGGCAGGTTGGCGCTTGCTGCAAAGGTGATGGGTAAGAAAGGACGGCATCCCTGGATGCGCTCTGCTTCACTCTGAGCAAATACAGTTCCAGACAGGGATCACAGAGACGAGTGCAACCTCTTTCTCTGTGGTGGGGAAACTCAGCGGTTGGGGGGAGTTTCTGTTGCAGCAATAGTACCTCATCTTTGTGTGATCTGCTTTCCTCCCCCCTGACCAGGGTGTTGGTTTATAATTCATTTATCCTACTCCTGTGGTGACCTCGTGGCTAGTTCTGTGTGTTCTCCTTCCTCCCTGGGGCGCTTGTCTCTCTCTGGCCCCCTCCTGTCCCATATTGCCTCGTTGCCCAGGAAAAGAGAGGCTTTTCCCAGCGTTTTCGATAATGCTTACTGTCTTTAAATCCAGTCTGCCTTGCATCTGGCATCGCTGGGTTGGACGGAGCCTTGTGAGACACCCTGATGCTGCTGTGGGAGGTTACAAGTGTTAGAGCAGTCCCTTGCTGTGGTTGCCATTGTGCCTGCGCCTTGTGGAGCTGTTTGCTTTAGGTTTGCCTATAAATATATTATGCAGACTGTGTTATTTTCTGATGGACCTATTCAAGGTGATCCAGCAGACTCTGGCCCGAAGCATTCAGCATGAGCGCAGGCAGTTCCTGCAAAGCCAAAGTTGCTCTGGGAATGAATTTGTCCTTTTCCCCGCAGTTACCTGCGAGTGTGGCATTTTGTTTCGAACATATAATTCTTTCTGTTGAGTTCTTTATGATCCAGTTGTCACTTCATGCTGCATAACTGCAGTAATCATGGGCAGGAGAGGTCTTATTTCAAGTGCAGGTGGCAGCATGGGCTTTGAATCATCATTGGGTTATGCGCCTGAAACACAGTTTCATGATATGGTTCTAATGTTGTGAATTTATTTTGCGTTTGTTACCTCTCAATTAGCACAAAGGCATACAAAGTGAGAGAAGAGCTCTTTGACTGGTGTCATCTTGCATTCCTCT